TCTGTTTTCTCCACGTGGCTCCAATCTGTGGATTTAAGTATCTGCAAATGAAACTACGTTGAGAATTTTATACACACACACACACATTAAAATATAAGACTATAGATTAACAGGTAAGAAACAACAGTAACATAGATATACATAGCTTGATCAGAGATTAAAGGTAAAGGTTTCCCTTGCTTGAAAGCCAGTCGAGTCCGACTCTAGGGTTGCGGTGCTCATCTCCGTTTCCAAGCCAAAGAGCCAGCGCTGTCCAAAGACATTTCCATGGTCATGTGGCCAGCATGACTAAACGCTGAGGTGCACAGAACGCTGTTACCTTCCCACCAAAGTGGTACCTATTTATCGACTTGCAATTTCTTGTTTTGGAACTACTAGGTTGGCAGGAGCTGGGGCCAGAGACGGGAGCTCACTCTGTCACGCGGCACTCGGGTCTTGAACTGCCAGACTATAGACCTTCCGGTCGGCAGCTCGGCATCTTAACCTCTGAGCCACCGTGGCCCCTTGATCAGAAATTACAATATGTTAAACCTTATAAATATATGGTGGATATTCTTTAGGAATTAGATATATTGATCCACTTTTGAGTTCACAGACCTAGATCTGGGCTGTCAAAATCCAGCATTCCTGACAATGAGTTTCTCTTTCTCCCCACTTTAACAAGAAGCAACTTTCTACTTAGAACCACAAAGCTTGGCCTGAAAGTGTAAGAGCAATGTCAGAGCAATGTCTGATAAATGTTCAGTAGCAGACTACCAAATTTGCATTTTAAATGCTTTGCTTGCGTCCCCAGCATCTCTGGTCAAAAGGTTCATGAATAGCAGCTGATGTGGAAAGCCTTTTTCTACCCAAGACCCCTGTCTGAGGAGACTATACTAAGACAAATGGATCATCCACAATAGATCTGGTGATCTGATCTCAGATGTGCAGCCTGTGTAGTATGGATGTGATTCAAGTTGATTGGTGGCCTTCAACTTTCCCAGACAGAAAAACAGGTGAGTCCCAAAGAAAGTCTTCTAGACGTCCCTTGTGCTAAAATGCTCGGGCCCTGTTGGACTTTCAGAACTAGACAATTCGGAAATACCCAGCTCCCTTATTCAGATTGCTTTAGCAGTTTAAGCAGGAACACAACCACAGTGCAGCAATTCCAGCAAATGCACAGCGAGAAAACAGGGACTCTAGCTAGTAAGCACTTTTTGGGAGGACCTGATTTATTTTAAAATATTTTTGATTTTAAACATTTCACTTTTCACTCAACTGCACTGTGGCATGCACATTTAATCTTCACAACAGCCCAGCAAGGTTGTTAGGGCAGGCTGGTCATTCTCTCGTAAGGTCTTTCTCCCCCCAGTTTGAATCCTCACAACAATCCTGGGAAGTGGGCTAGGCCAGGCCAAGTACTCTCAAAGTTGCCAAGAGAATTTCGTGGCTGAATTGGGGTTTGATCCCAAGTCTCCCCAGTCTCACTCCAGTTCTCTATCCCAGGAAAGCCCAATCCCATAAAATCTCAGAAACTAGGTAGGGTCGGCCTTGTCTAGTATTTGGATGGGGGCCTCTAAGGAATACCAGGGGCATGACGCAGGGGCAGGCAATGGCAAACCGCCTCTGAAACATCTCTTGCCTTAAAACAAGTCTAGCTTGCCACCTAGTGGCACACAGAGCTAAAACAGCTAGAACTGCCGACTGCCAGACCATCTTAGGCTCTCCTGGCTACACTACACACACTGCCATAGGATCATTATTAATTATTCTCTATCCACACCATTTAAGTGTGTTCCCATTAATTTGCAGCTGAATTATAGCAAACCTCATAGGGGTTTCAAGGCAAGAGATGAAGAGAGGTGGTTTGTACCTGTACAGAGGCAACTCACACTAGAGATATAAAAAAACCCCAACACCCTATAAATGCTGGGTAAGCAGGCAGCCGGCAGCTGTGACCAGCAGTGCCTTTGACCAGGTTCGACTGTCTTTCCTGAGCAGAAAAGGTCTGGGCATTGTGGTACACGCCCTGGTTACAACTCGATTAGATTACTGCAAGGCACTCTATGAGCAGCAGTCCTTGAGAAATGTTCAGTAACTTGTGCTTGCTGGTGCAAGAGTAGCAATTTTTGGCACTGAGGCGGTGTATCTTTGTGTTGGGTTTAGACTGCAGCCACTGTGCACAGGATGGCAGTGTTGTCTACTGGTTAGTAAATCCAAACAAGGGGAAAAGACTAGTGTCACAGGAGACCCAAATATACAAATTCCACTAGTAGAAAACACCATCAAAGATTGCCAAAAAGATATATTAAACCAGGGGTCTTGTTGTAGAAAAAGAGCTGCCGGAGCTCATTAGCATAACTCATTAGCATAACTTATTTGCATATGCCACGCCCCCTGACATCACCGGAAGTGACAGAAGGCCACACCCCCTGACATCACCGGAAGTGTGTCAGAAGGCCCGGCTACTTACCCTCCTGCTTCATCCTCATTCCCAAACGGAATGAGGATCGAAGCAGAGGGCGGGGTAAAGAAGGGGGCGGGGCTTCACCACGTGACCGCCCCACCCCCTAGAGGTTCTCTTCCGGAGCTCCGTACCTGAGAGCCCCCCCCCCACTAGAGCCCTGGTCATGCCGGCCACATGACCACGGAAACATCTTCGGACTTGCACTCCCGCCGGCCTTGCAGGTTCACCGCCGGGCCTCTCATGGGGCTCGGCAGTGGAGCTGGAAGGCTGGCGGCAGCGGCCGGGACCATTGGGGGCGGGGTGTGCGGCCTTATGACACACGTCCGGTGATGTCAGGGGGTGTGGCCTTATGACACACGTCTGGTGATGTCAGGGAGTGTGGCCTTATGACACACTTCCGGTGATGTCAGGGGGTGTGGCATATGCTAATGAGTTATGCTAATGAGTTCCCCTAGCTCTTTTTCTACGAAACGACCCCTAAGTTACAGTATGCATAAATGTTGTTGTTGTGACCCCACCAATTTTATAATTGTTTAATATATTGTTTTGGCAATCTTTGGATGGTGTTTTGTACTAGTGGGATTTGTATATTTGGGTCTACCGGTTAGAGCATCAAGCCTATGATCTGAGAGAGCCGAGTTCAAATCCCTACATTGTCCTAAGCTTGCTGGGTGACCTGAGGCCAGTCACTCCCTCTCAGTCTACCTTGCCCCTGCTATTTGAACAAGGGTGCCTTGCACCTGAAAGCTTCTACCCAGAATAACACTGTGTTGGTCTTAGAGGTGCCCCTGGACTCAAACTTTGTTTTGGCCCTGGCAGTTATTGTAAAGATAAACTGGAGGAGGGGGACGGGGCCCTGAAAAGCCATACCAAGACCCTAAATCACATCAGGTTTAGGAGGCCCCAAAGCATTGCCCCCAAATGAGGACTTTTAGTCACCTGTGTGTGTGTGTTTGTGTGTCTTTACAGGTTCTTGTAATCTGAGGCCCTCCTTGTTTCTTTAGTCTATGTATAGATCCAGCTTTGGAGAAAGAAAGAAAAAAAAGATGTCTACCACCCTGAAGAAAGGAGATTCAGGTGAGGAGAGGTGTTCCCTCTAAGCCGAGAGTGTGAGCTAGCTCACAGTTTTTTTAGCCTCCAGCTCACACATTTCTGTCTCAGCTCAGGAAGGGATGGCTCCAGAGTCCAGAGCACACGAATTTAGGCAGGCGCCAAATAGCTCGGCTCACAACTTCAATGCCGGTAGCTCACAGAGTAGAATTTTTGCTCACAAGACTCCGCAGCTTAGAGGGAGCATCAGTGGGGAGCCGCGTTGGTGTAAAGCCACAGAACAAAGCTTGAGTCCAGTGGCACCCTGAAGACCAACATGGGCCCCAGTCACAAAGGCCGGATATTGTGGGTGGAGGCGTGGCTAATTGCCCCGGCGCAGTTTGATGCACGATTATGCGATCAGACGCACCGGCGGCACACCACAGGTCCTTCCCTCAGGCGTCTGGAGGCAGTCCGTGGCAAACGTTTACTAGGACCTTGGAGGTCCTAGTTTTTTAAGGCACACTGTCAGTGGTAAGCGACGGGTGCGCTCCACTTCCCAGATGTTGGGGTGTGATCCTAATCCGCCCACCGTCCCTGCCGCTTTTTGCTGTGTGACCAGGGGCCAAAGTTTTATTCAAGGTGTCAGCTTTTGAATAAAATTTTCTTGGTCTCAAAGGCGCCACTTGACTCAAACCGTTACCCTGAGGGAAAGGCGGTGCGTGTGTGTGTGTGTGTGAATCCACTACATAAGAGCAACAGGTGACCCACCTGGCCACCAATGTTCCCTCTAAGCTGTGGAGTCTTGTGAGCAAAAATTCTTCTTTGTGAGCTACTGGCATTAAAGTTGTGAGCGAGTGATTTGGCTACTGCATAAATTAGCTTGCTCTGGAGCCATGCTCCCTGAGCTAACACAAAAATCTGTGAGCTGGAGGCTAAAAATCTGTGAGCTAGCTCACACTAACTCAGCTTAGAGGGAACACTGCTGGCCACCACCTCCTATATGGGAGGTGGTGGCCTGGCCCCTAGCGCGGAGACGGAGACGCGCACGGGGTCGAAAAGCCTTCCTCGGTAGAACTTCTGCGTCTCCTTCTCCTTCTCCGCCTTTGTTCATCCCAAGGGAGCAGCGGCCGTGCAGCCAGCCTCCCCGGCTCCGAATCCGCTCTGCTGTGTAAACGCGCCGCGCGCTTCACGCGCGCAGCAGCAACAAAAGAGGCGAAAGAAAACTTCTGGGCGCAAAGCAGGCACCTCCGGGCCGGCCCAGTCCGCTCCGCTCCACGCCCCAGCCGCCTCGCTCCCGGGCCCAGACAAAGGAGGAGGCGGCGGCGGCGGCGGCGCAGGGAGGGAGGCCGGGCGAGGCGAGGCGGCCAGCGTTGCACCCCCGGGGCAGAGGAGG